AAGCTCTTGATAAAAAGAAAAACAATAATTTAAATTGATACATACAGAGCTAATGAAACTCTTCTCTCAATGTTAGAATGATTTTTGTTCAGTTATATGACTTCCAATGCAGCAGAATATTTTCCATACACACATTTTTTATGATAGCTTCACAGGATCTTCAATCTATATTTTACAAAAGATATTTCTAAAATTTACTTCATAAAATCTATATTCAGTAATGTGACACCATCATTTAATAAAAAATAACTTCTCACATGCATTAAAGTATTTTTATAGGGGAATGCCTTCTCGTCATTTCAGCCTCTTTTTGCCTATTTTGATCACTTCTGAAATTTGCGGAAGAAATAAGGGGTTATCAACCATGTGATATCACTAATGCTTAAGTAGATCTCCACCCACAACAGAGAATGCTGAACACCAAAGACGCCTTTGCTATATCGCATTACAGGGGGGCGGATATTTTCACAAGCACCAGTGACTTCAATACCCAGTTGATAATCCAGTCTTAACTTGTTAACCCCCGAAGTGAACAATATATATAGAAAATGACTGCAAATGACTTAACCACTATAAATTATCATTCATATTTGGGCCCAAGAAAGTTACATTATCCTTTCTCAGTTTTAAAAACTATGAATTTCATACTAGTGCCAAGTATTTAATGTCATTTCCCCTCACCTAAAAACAAGTAAATAAATAAATAAATAAATAAATAAATAAATAAACAATGTTTCAGGAAGTCTTATAAAATCAGAGACATATCGTGTTAAGTCAACTAGCTTCTGACAAAGCTGGAGCTTCCACAGAGCATTGTGAACTGTGGTCTCAACTAGCACAATCAGTACATACAGCACAACCATATGACTGATGATCTCATGGGGTCATTATGTACAAATCATGGAAAAAAAAAAAACACTCCACTCTGTGCCAACAGATACACATCAGGTAACAGGTAAAATATTAAAACATGTTCGGATAAGAAAAGCTGTGAATCGTGTTATATGATACAACAATTTTATAGATCAAATCACATTCATCTGTAGCTTTATCTCAAATGTGATTTTGCTCTTGTCCTATATTGGGGTTAATATAAACTTCATTGAATTTGTGCACAAATTTATTATTTCCTTTGGAAAAAGGTAATACACACTCTAGGTTCATATTTAAATCTGTTACAAAAGCAACCATAATATATACGGGCAAAATTGCTTCTTTTTTCCAGGAATATCAATTTACCTTGCCAGCCTCGGAAATGACCACAGGTAATAACATGTATTTCAAAGATCAATACAAGAGGATAAGATAAGCTCATTCCAGTCATGATAATTTACAATATGAGTATAAGCATATTATATTAATCTCTAATTATCCTTTACATGAACACGAGCTGCCTTTTCCGGATTTCTTTTTAGCTGAAATTTTTCCACTTATTGATCTTAAACCTCAGCTTGTTGATATTTTGGATCTTAAAATTATAAACGGTAATAAAAACATGTTTATGATTTCCATCTGACTGACAGCCTATTCATATGGTTCTAGTACCTGTTTCTCTTTGTTTTACATCCAATGAACATGAGCAAACCACAGCTGATTATGAAAAATGGACACCTCAGTTTATAAATTAAGACTGTTAAAGCAACTTGGTTCAACCTAAACACTAGAAAAAAAAATCCCACAAAACAAAGATAACTCTAGCACAGAACAAAGCTGCAGCCCAAATATTTTTTTTTTTTTTTTTTTTTTGACCTGCATGTCTAGCAAAACCTTAAATTCCAGAAATTTCGAGGCAAAAAGAGCACTTTGATATTAACTTATCCCAGTCGTTATGGTGAAATGGGTATGGAACCCGGTTCCACTAAAGCAAGTGATCACCTCATGTTTAGTCAACATAGTTACTCTTCAGTTTAACTTCCAAAAATATTTATAAGAAACAAGGGTGGTTTTTAAATCACCTTTCTCTCTCACATGTGGCATATAATATTCGATTATCCATGCTGTGTTACATGTCAGAGCAGATTTTCACCCTTGTAATTATTTCCTAAAAAGACCATAATTGCACAAACCCCACACAGACAGGTGTGATTCTAGTTTAGAGAAGGGATTAAATGCGAGAGTGCAAGAGCAAGCAAGGAAAATGGAAAGGGATTTCAAAATTGTGTTCTGAATGCTGCTTTAACCATTACTTGTTATATTTTTGAAACAAATGGAAAAAGCATTTTGTTTTTTTTTCTTCTTCTTCTTTGCCATTCCTAAACACCTTTTTTACATGCCAGGAAGACAAACAGAAGCCTTAGTTTCAATATCAAATCTGATAAAAAAGACCTTGTGCTGGTCTTAATAAGCAACAACATTTCACCTCACACATAATCCCTCTTTACTGAGAATCAGAAATCTTATTACAGGGACTAATAAACTGATATCATGAATGTTTGTTTCCACAATATTCATATCAAGAAAATGATATCATCTCAAAGTTACATAAAAGCAGTACTTTTGTTCATTTACCTATTATTCATCCTCAGCCACACAGGTTGGGGGCAGGATTTCATTTTAGGCCCTGGACATTGATTTTTTATCTCTATTGATTTACAATAATAAAATGAGACCAACTGTATGAAAAATAATTATACACCATCCCCCCCCCCCCAAAAAAAAAATGCCTGATTTAAGGATATACTTTTTTATATCAAATAATGCACATATTGAATAATATTTCCTTCTTTATAAATGAAACAAAATCTGTATCTTATTTAAGTTTAAAAATTTATAGATCAGTTAATTTATTATGCTATATAAAATCTCTCTGTACACCTGTTACAGCCAGATAGCTTTACCTTTCCGTTCAAAGGTATAATTCTAGGTCACAATAAGATTGCCAATATATGTATTCTTTTTCGAGTTCAATATTATCTACGGGTGTTTCTTTGCCAGTTTTGGAGATTTGAAGGGATGGAAAATTTGCAAAGTACAGTGTCATGGTGGAAAGTTGGACAAAGGTCAAATTCAATATCACAATAAGATTGCCAATATATGACTTTTATTCTAATTCAATGGTCACTATGAGCATATCTCTGCTAGTTTTGGATGATTTCACATTTTGTAAGATTTTCATCTTTGAGCATAACTTTTTGAAACATTGCAACAATTACACCATATGAAAAAAAAAACATTTTAAATGGTGCAGTTGACAAGCTCTACAAATTGCACTAAGCAAGAGGTATCTAGCTTTAATAGTTCCAGAATTACAAAAAAAGTTATCAGTTTTGGCAACAAATGGCCGCTCCGCCCATGCAAAAGTACTGTTGGCCCCAAATTCAAGTTGATGAAAGAAGACCCAAAGTGTATCTTCTCACCATAATATCAAAGCAAATGGGAACAAACATATTTTTTCACAAAAAAAATAATAAAAAAAAGCCCCTTTGACCTTGAGATATAGGTCAAAGGTCAAATCTAAAGTCAAGTCTGAGATCTCCACATGACTTTAGGTCAGATTTCTATAATAAGTTTTGCAATAATTCATTTGGTTTGGGAGACATATATGCACGTAATTTATGGAGAAAATGGTTTGATCAAGCTGATTTTTTAAATTTGACCTGTATTTCAGTAATACCAATCACTCTTTTAAGTTTGAAGACAAAAGGCTTATCGGTTTTCCTAGAAATGTGTTATCTGTATTGCATATATTCAGCAACCCAGTAATTTCAATACGACCGCAACTGCATTTTGGAATTATTCACTTTTTTGCTGCAAATTAACTTGTAACATTTGGATAGTCTTTTTTTATAATCTACATTTATCAGGAAAAAAAAACAACAAACTTGCCAACAGATGGTGACAGTATTAAGCACTTCAAGGAGCAGTGTATGATCTTGTTTTTCTATAAAAACCATGGACACATCACATTTATTAATAATAATGACATTTACCCCCCCCCCCCTTTTTTTTGGAATGGAAATGGGGGAGGAGGCACCTCCACTTTACTTGCTGAAATATCCATTTTATTGCCTACAACAGAATTAGGTTAGGCAGAAGAAATCAAGCTGTAATTAACAGGCCAGTGACATTTTAAAATATATAATTCTACAGCAAGCTCACTTAACTACCACAAATACTAGTAACTGATTAGCTTATAATTTTAATGTCAATATGTGTGAGGATGGTACAGAAAGCTAACTAATGAGAAATATTTTTAACACCACATATTATTCAGTAGCACCATGATTTTCTGAGTTGTGAAAACTCTCTTTTCTCTCTTTTTTCCTCTTTCTTTCTCTTTTTTAGTAAATTGCTGAAATATTTCTTAAGCGAGCCACATGTTATTTTTTTACCCATTAGCTTACAAAAACTACGTACAAGATGTCAAGTGAATTACTATAAAATATTCAACTCTAACAGCTGGCAAAGAACTGTTAATGTGATAGCAGGTTGTGGTTAAATTGTAGTTTTTTGGCAATAATGAGGGGGACAAAAAGGCTTAATTTATAAATCACAATTATTCAATAAGGAAAATAAATCTTTTGCATTCTCACAAACAGCTGGATTTCTAAATTTACAAAAGGCTTAAATTGTAAATTAATAATAACACTAGCCTACCAACATTAAATCATAACATTTTTAAAAACACAGCAATAGTTATTATAGCATAATTGTAAATAAGAGGAACTCTCTGTTAGCCAAATATGTTTAGCTTAAACATATAACTTTGAAAAATCTCTAAATTCTGGGAGAAAAAAAGTAACCAACATAAAATTTCGATTGAAACAATGTTGGAGTTAAAAAAAAGGCTGGTGAATGAACTAAAAAGATCAAAAGAAAAACAGTATTTGATTTTTCAAAATCCTCTTTTATCATTTTAATTCTATGGAACAGCCACCATACAGGTGATGGAGTCAATACTACAAACATCACACCAATTTTGATAAGCTTGCATACTAGTACCCACACAGGGACTAAAACAAGCAACAGATGAAATGTCACAGAATGCACTCTGTACCTACCTGGATTATCAGCATCCATGCTGTCAGACATGCTGAAACCAGAGGAGCTGTCCCCAAAGGCGTCTCCTGGCAGCTGAAGCTCCTGTGGGTTATAAGGCTCACTGACGTGGCCGTCTCCTTCAAATAGATCAAATGTTGGAGGCCCTCCATCCCCGAGGCTCATGTTACTGCTACTGTTCATATTGCTCAGCAAATTGTCACTGATGTTGTTGAGATTGTTGGCAACATCAAAATGGCTGTCTTGCAGCAGATCACTGTCATTGTAGTTGATGGCACTGAGCATGGCGTCCCCAGCGTTACCTGACGACTGGAACCTCAGCCCCTGAGTGGTCATGCTGGTGGCTGAGGAGGCAGGGCTAGGCTGACCAGTATCTGTATATGTCACAGGTACGCCCACACTTAACGGGCCCATTCCCTTGTCATCAGTCATAGATGTTTGTATTCCTGCTACATTCAAACTATTCACTGGCAAATCGGGGCGGTGGTCAAATGGTGACCTTGGCTCTGTCCCACGCTGGTCATTGCAGTGGGCAAAGTTTGTAGCCATTAATTGTTTGTTGAAGGCAGCGATGTGTGTGTTCATAGGGTGAGGCGAGGAGTTGGGGTCATTCATTGACTGTGACACAGACAAAGGAGGAAAGGTAAATGCTTCGGCTTGCTTGACCATCACATGAGGCGACTTGTTGGGATCGTTCATCACCTGCCTCATGTTCATCTGATTGATCATGTGGGGGGATTTATTAGGGTCATTCATTTGTTGTCGTACAACTGGAAACTGGAAATGTGTCGTGTCCTTTGCCATGGTGTGATGTGGGGACATTGTAGGGTGGGGTGACATGTTGGGGTCATTCATGCCCTGTTGCTGGACAACAGGCATTCTGTTGATTGGAGTATGAGGTGTATGCGGTGTGTGGGGGGCAGAGGCGTGACCCCCCGGTGTGTGAGGGGTATGAGGGGTGTGGGGACCGTGTGGAGAAGGGTTGGGATCGTTCATGCATTGCTGCCCAATAGGAGCTTGGAACTGAAACTGGTTCCCATCTTGCAACATGTGGGGCGACATGTTTGGGTCGTTCATCTGCTGGCCATAATTCTGCATGGTGTCATTCTGAAAGTTATTTCCACGCATGTTGTACGGTGGATCTGGGTACTGGAACACATTCTGAGACTGCGGATGTGGGGAACCACTGTGAGTATACACTGGTGATGGCGAGGCCTGGTGGTGGTAGTTCCTGGCATTCACATTATTCACATTGTTGTTCCCTATGTAGCCTTGATTGCTGTGCATTCTCCGCCTCCCCAGGGGCGGAGGCATTAGAATCCCATGATATCCCCCGCCTGCAGTCGCCTTGGACATGTGATTATTATTATCCATGGGATCTCGCGGGGAGTTAGGCACACTGTGACTCTGCTGTTGCTGGGACTGGTAGCTGGGGGTGAGGGGGGAGTTGGGAACTGGGCCTGGAGACTGATAATTTGGGGTCAGCGGAGAATGGGTCCCCACCGGGGAGTGTTGATATCCAGCCATGTTCATGTGGTCCCTAGGGGAGTTGGTCATATGCCCTGGGGATTGGTAGTTGGCTGACATTCTTAGAGGCTCACTCTGTTTTGATTGCCATTTCAATAGGTTCTGTAAAAACAAAATAAATCTGTTAATTGATGATCTGTAATAATAATCATCAAAACATTAACAATATAATCGAAGTTTCTTTCGTCTTTGTCATCTTATTAAAAATTTATAGCAAATTTTCTTCTTAAATTAACTGAGGTTAAAAAATTCCACTTTTCCTAAAGGCATTTTTCAGTGTATTTTCAAATGTGGCTTTAAGGTCTGGTAAAAATATACAATAGGTCTGCAATAAGCCATGTGTCTTGATATCAAATGACCTATTGAACAACACAGAACCCTACATTACATCACTGAGAAAAAATAGGATCCTTAAAAAGGGGAAAATCACAACATTTCATGACAGAGACTTGCAGCAACTATCTAGGGGACAGGAGCAAATATTATATCAATATTTGGCTTCTAAAAAACATCAATTAAAGTGACTCATTGTTGAATTTTTATTGCTTTTGTTTTTAATTTTATCATGTGATACCAATCCAAGTGTAGAAAAGTAAAATGTATGCCTGTGTTTTAAAGGGTGGGGATGAAACTCGATATAACAACAGTCTGTTACTGTAGTATTAGAAATGCTCCTAATGCTTGGAAAATCTTCATTTGCTTTTTCCTAAGTCTAAGTGCCACTAACAGACCCTGTAAGATCACTTTCAATACAATAAAACAAATCTGTTGAAATCCCACGTGGGCATCTTTTATTGCTCTAACCCAAAACACCAAAAATCACTAGTTGCCCATTAGGCAAGCCTCCAACAATGAAAGCAAAAGTCTAAACACATATCAAGAACTCTATTCTATCCCATTTCAAAGCAATTAACAGGTGAGGTTTTCTCCTACAATAAGTTGTCATTAAATAACCATAAAGTGCATAAGTTACATTCAACCAAACAGGAAAACACTGAGGGTGGCTGGGCCATTAAAAAAATTATTATTCCTGTGGGCAATAATGTGCTATTCACAGGTCTCCTTTAACACACAGCCCATTGACCCACTGTCAAACACCAAATTTAAGCACCAACTTCCAGCCAGACAGTCCATCATTTCCCATAATCAGCCCCCTACAGATGTAGTTAAATAAACTTCCCTACTGATACCCAACAGGAAAGTCAAGCCTATGAAAAAAAAACCCAGTACGAATAACGATGTGAAATGAAATACAGCATAATCTTACAGGTATTTATCTAATGTGAAACAACATACATAATGAACAGATTACCTAGAATTGATACGATTTCTAATGGGCTATTGCACTGGAAATATTATCAGTTAGTGTTTACAACAGAAGATGCAATTAAAGTTGTCAAAACTTTGATGTTAATGTTATGAATGTGTCATCACTTTTTATAAAAGTTGTCTATATGGACTACAGGTTAGTGTGAAATGTTTAAGTATCATTGAGCTGAATCTGGTTGTGAATATATTCTTTTTTTGTGGTTCAAATGTATCACAGAGTACGGAAATAATTATTAATGGGACAAATAGGAACTGTTAATCTTCTGAAATATGGGCACCATCATTCGTCACTGAACAGAAGGAAAAAAAACTGAAACAAAAGCTTCTGCAAACATAACATAAACTTCAGATCAAATATCTGCCAGCTTCTTCAACTTCAAATATCTTTACTAATATATCTAAGCTAAATGAAATCTGACCTTTACCATTATGGCAAATTTCAATTTTCGCCTATCGTCTAAGTAGAACTAGTAAGTGAGATTTGTCAGGCATAAGATCCGTCTCCAACAAAACAAACCACAATAATTAACTTAATGTACCTAATGGTTGGCATTCACATTTTTGTGTTTACTTTATTCAACATTTTGGTTACATATTAACATGATGTACAAATAAGATATCTGTTGAAAAGAAACCAGGGTGTCACATTTGGTCCAACTCTGGAGTTTGCCCAGGATTTGGGGTACAGGGGGTTCAAAATGTGAAACTGTAATTCGATCATCAATTTACAAGGAGTCCAACCCAAGCAAGCCCTACCAACCAACCCCAAAATCATTTAAGCCATCCAGACATATTTGGAAATACAGGCCTTCTTTTGAGGCTAATGGCAGACCAAATGAAGGCTGGACAGCTCTCTGGGGAGAGCCTTGGTCTAACTACATTACTGTCACTTTCAAGTCAACTGTGGACCAGGGACCTGTTTCTAAAGCTAAATTTTTTAAGCACCTAAAATCCACCCCAGAGCTTTCTAGTGTCAAACACAGTCACATTAACCTATAGTTACGATGTTTGACATACAAATCAAGATTTTTTTGCCTTCAAAAATCAATATATACATATAATTTAAATACCTGCTCTGTTGTATATTACCTTATTTTGGCACCTTCGTGCAAATTCACAATACCTAGCAGAAGGCCTATGACACATGTAAGGATTTTAATCTTATATCAACTGCCTGTAACACCATATAAGTACACATGCAAATATATTAATGTTGAATGAAGATAAACTTGTAAATGAAATCAATATACTGTGATCACTAGTTGCACTGCCTGGAACTCTGCTACCCCACCACACCCCACCCCAAAAAAAAATCTGATTCCAAAAACTTTTCCTTCTTAATTAGATGTTAACGTGATGTTATGAAATCACCCGATACTCTCATAAAATATATAAACCAGCTATCGTTCACTTAGCAAAGTGAAAATTTTCACTTTTACTCTAGGCAGATTAAGCAGTAACCAAAGCATCCCTTGCATCATATGCCACGTGACTTTATGATTATGTTGTCATATCTGGAAAGGTCTATATAAATCTACAAAAATAGGGCACTGATAGCAACTAGTATATTTACGAAAATAGATGTCACAATACATGGCTACCAAGAAAATGGTATTGTTGAAGTGGTGAGCACATGCAGGCCTACCCAACTACCAGACTTGGCACCAAATGATCCCAAATTTACCAGTAGATTGGACCACACCATTTTCAAGGTGTGCGTCAGTACGCATTTCACAGTATCTTACCCCAGAACAAATTTTGAGATGAGATGCAATACTTTCCAACCCCACTGAGAATCATCACTATCACATTGCGTACTCGGCAAGAGCGGCGTCGCGTCTGATACTTAGAAGCGCGTACTGATACACACCTTGATAACTGGTATTGTGGTACGATCTACCGGAGAATTCAGGATCATTCGGTGCCGAGTCTGGTAGTTGGGTAGGCCTGACATGGTCTGAGTAAAGAGCAAGTATCAGAACTAGCCAAAGTCACACAGGTCTGAGCAGGCTTTAGTTTTCTGACCGTTCTCATGGCTGTCCACAAGCATCTGAAGTCCAGGCTAAGCAGACATTGTATTAATAATAGGGACTGTTCACTATGATTTTTTTTTTTACCTAGCTAATGTGCACCAATTCCAGAGGGACTCTTGCTCAATGCAATCAGATTTAGAGACTTACATGCCTCCTGGCATTGAGTAGTGAAGAAAAAAGCTTGTGATTATAGGAGTACATTGGAATTGTGTCTTTTCTCATTTTAAAGCCCCTTTTCTATTGACATATATCCTATCTACAATGTCTTTGAATATAGATCATGATTGATAAAATAAAGAAAAGAAAACATTAATAAAAATTAAAACAATATAAACATTTTACTATGACAATTTTTTAGAATTGTTCCTTTCACAAATGTATAATGAAATATTTCATGATACTGAAATGAAAAAAAAAATAATAAAAAAACTCTAATGATTTTTTTCTTACTAGTAAGGAAATATTAAAACCTCACAAATTCTCTAGTTTGTAACTATATATAACCCTATTCTTTACAATTAAACAGAAAATAGAACTTGACAATGAACCCTGAGAAACAGTAATCAAATAACCCATAATATGACGTACATAATTAGATATATCATTTCATAAAGATAATGAGACAAAATAATTTTGTCATTGTCAGTTTTACATGATCAGTGTTGTAATAAGGTGAACGCTGATATTGCAACAACAGGTAAAACATGTTTAATCCTTGTGAACATCTCTGTCATGAATGTCAAGTCATAAATATTATAGTAAACCACCTCTGCAAAAATACCCATGAGGACCTGTTAGACCATATCACTACCGACTTTTATCCTTCAGAATTGATATCTCTTACAACTGCTGTTGACAGAATAAGGTCAGCTTATTCAAAGAAAGCAAGAAAGCTAAAATCAATCAGGTGCTCATCAAAAAACACCAGGTAAAAATGAATGGCTCCTCTCTCCTGAAATTGCCAAGATCTAAAAGATAAGGATCAATGTTATGATCTGCTAAACTGCAGAATATCAAAGAGAGAACAAAAATCCTGTGCTTTATTGAAATTAATCCACATCATTGTACATTCACATTTTACTCTGGAAGTATGCTATATAAATATACAAGAATTGTTGCTGATAAGTGGTAATTAAGGGCCAGATGTGAAGTAGGGAAGGTACAATTATCACCTTATACGTTTCTATTTTTACCACAAATGAATTTCAAATTATGAAACACTAAATTCCCTCTGTAGTATCCTCTGTTCAACATAACACGAGGTCAAAATACCAAAAACTTCTTTTACTCAACTCCAGCGTATCTGATGAATTAGAATTGTTTTGATAACTGCTCATTAAGAGAATAAATTGACAATCACCCATTTTCACATACACACACATACAAATAATATCAATAATATTTTTTCAGAAATTAAAAAAAGCTAGGTAGGACATTAAAAACTACAATATGCCACAGCATGTAATGAAATCTAATCACAGCACTACCTATGAAAACAGGAAAACAGAAAATTGCCCTTCCCCAGCAAAGGTCAGCAATGGGTTCTAACCAGCATTGTTGAAGTGGATTGTTCTCTGAATGCTGATCGCACAATTTTGAATTGAGATTCCAAGAATACTTGATTACTAAAAATACCTTTAGTGCTATAAACATGGTAAGGTTGATAAAATTGGATTTTTTACACCTTACGATCAATATTCTCTTTTTAAATTATCTTTCTCTGTAAAATCACAACTATTATCAAAAAAGTTGCCTCAATTTTGAATATTTCTGGCCATTCTGTTCTTACTTAAGTTAATCCAGTAAAATCATACAAATTTGAAAAATGATATTTCATGGATGTGGTTACTGGTGGACAATAAAAATGGCGTGGATGCTTTGGCATTTTATTGATGTTTTCAGTACATTGCAGCTTTTTGTAGTCATCTAAACACTTGAACAGGTGAAATACAGTCTATCTGATTGTGTTATTTTTATTCGCGTAGAGAGCTTTTTATCTGGCAATTTGACTACACAAAATAAGGCCATGTTCATTGCAGTTTCATAAAAAAAAACTTGGAATCTCAAATTAAAGAAGTACACATTTGTATGCCCATTCTCTTCACAGCTAGAGTAATTTCTCCACATTCCTGCCCATTGCACTATGTGCTGAGTGCCGTTTTCCAAGATGTTACAGAGGGAATTCTCTGGTCAGGGAAGGGTAGAGGCCAATGGTTGACTTATCAAAAGGTAGTACTGAAAGATCGAACACCATTTTTCCTTGAAAAAAATGCCTAGAGTAGCTGTTTGAAAATCTGATTTCATACTCAAATGTTTATTTCTCTTTCATAATATAATGTTTTTTATTTGATGCTATTTTACCTGGTCTGGTTCCATGTCTTTAAGGTTCATACTGTATCGATAGGTTTTATAGCATGGTGGCTGACGTAGCTATTTGGAAATGATACTCCTTTTTCATAAATCATATGCTATGGTTTTATAATATACCTACAACATCAATATTGCCTATATATGCAATTAGACCTATTACAATTATTAGAATCCAAGACATTTTTGACATGAGGATTACATACTTCAATATTCTTTGTTTTTACTTGGAAAACACACGCACACACACACACACACACACACACACACACACACACACACACACACACACACACCTCATCCATCTGCAACATAACAAAGATTTTGACAAGCAGGATTAAGAGACGGAAACAACAAAAAATACATAACTTTATTATAATATAAATCACCATTTCTTACACAAAATATGTCTTTGGTGACTGCAAGAACAGCAGCTTATATCTGTGACAACTTTGTAAAATGACTAACTGTTGTTTATAATGAAAAATCTATTTGAACAATGTAGTTAACTATCAAGACACTATGGAATTAGTTTTGCATGATAATCATTAAGTGAAAAGCAAAGCAGTTTAAAGTTAAATATGAAGTGATTGTAGTTTCTCTATGAGGCATATTTAGCCTTATCTACTATTTTCAAATTAGGTCCACAAGTTTAATCACTTGATCAGCCAAAAAAATAGCTGTAAAATGATTTCCAAATGTTTGATTGTAAACTTGGCCTACAATCTGCCATTCAAGTTTGTTAGAGTCTACCAAATGATGTAATAATATCTGACGCATTACTGCTACTCGAGCAACAGCATAATATTCAAATAAGCCTTGCCGGAAACAACTGGGGATTATATAAAGCACAGAGAGAAAGCAGTCTTAAGTTATGCTATTTGAAACAATAAGATGGCATTTGGTCAGGTTAGGTGGCAAAGATTTGACTTCATATATAACTTTCAGGTATATATGTACTTTTTGAAAAAATAAAAATAAAATCATTTAATCAAGTCAAAATATAGCTTTAATATTTAGCTGTATATATGTGTGTATTAACAACATATCTGTAGTACACCTGAGGCTTAAATTGAGGCAATCTGCAGAACAACATGGAGATGCCTTAAGACACCTTCAACCTTTATTCATATTGAAAATAAGAAGAATGGATTGGCCTTAACCCTCTGAGTAATATAATTAAGAGTAAATGAAACAATAAGACGTGAAATATTTACACATAACTAGATATAACTAGGCGTGCGCTGAGGATAACAAATCAACAAGCAATCATTTCTGGACAAGGCAATGCACTGGCAAGGAAAAGGAAGCACTTAGTTTTGGGTTTATCAGGTGGAGTGTCCTTGAGCCACACATTAATAGTCATTATCAATATGAACTGCTTTAATATCGGAAGTTGCCAAAGAGCGGTAAAACCAGCAAAATGAAACCCAGCTGACTCGGGTAAATGTGACCTACATCCACTTCGGTGCAAGCGAGTGCTTGCAGGGTCCACGATTTCGGCGTTTCGATCTCTCTCTTGCAAAAGTGCAACTACAGTAAGTCTTTGATCACGACGATCTTCATGCATTGACATTTTGCATATGCTTACCTGTGTTAAAAACTACTCGGTCTTCGGTGTAGCTTGCAAGCTTCAAAGTTGATGTAAACTCAAAATTACTGTGTAAACTTGCTCTACGTAAAATACTACAAGCCTGTGGACTCATTATTAACCATCCGCTTTTAAATCAAGTTCGACATAAACAATGTGTTATTTTGAACAGTTAACCTTGTCAAGATAAAATCATTTACTCTTTGAATCTTTCCATATTTAATTTTTTGCAATTTGACGGGCAGTTTTAACTGAAAAATATTAATGTGGAATATATAATGACACAGGAATCGATGCTTCCGGTTGCGAACGAGCCGAAAAATAGTTCGTGACATCATCCATTTGGATTCTGGGAAGGTGACGTCACGTCTATTCCAATATGGCTTCAAAGCCAACAGAACTTCGGAAAGTGGTTGAAACGACACTGAACACGTCAGCTCCAGGTATTGAATATCTTCAGGGTTAGATTGGGTTAAGAAATCATTTGACGTTTGTGGTAGCTCATTTTAATACAAATGTTAAAGCATGTCATATTGTACATTTAATACTTGGGACAGGTAGCGACAAATGCTCAACTTAGTTTGCAATGCCACCCCTACAATTTACACCAACTACAATATGTGAGCGACAGAAGCAATGCCTTGGTTGTGCACTGCTGTTGCAAATTGTTTACAGAGAGCCTTGGCAATAAAACATTTATCTACTAAAGTAGTCTTACAGAATAAGTGGTGGTGAAATTAAAGGCTTAAAAGTTGAAACTGAAAATGCAATAATCACACTCACAGTAGCACTGTTGCCATCACCAGCACCAAGCAGCGTTTGGGGGACTAAATGGATAAATACATTTTTAAAAGTGAAAAGCAGGAAATTAAGTAAAACAAAGAAAGGTGAGCTGGGAATAACAAGCTTGCATGAAATACCACTGGTGCAAAATCATTTCCCAGTACGTTTATTTAATTTACTGAGTATGTTTAATTTTATTTAATTAAATTGGGGCTTGACACACCTATTGGCTTTACTTGCCTGATGCAAGATTTTTGTAGTGACTTTTGACACATTCCATATGTAGTTGATAATTTACTTAAGATGTATCCTCCACTCCTTCCCTCAGTTCTGAAAATAAATGAATGCATATATTGAGAGTATAAACTGTCTGTGTCATAACAATGGAATTAGATATCCCCCCCCCCCCCCCAAAAAAAAAGTCATAATTTAATTAACCAGTGCAAAATTTTTCTTAAAAAAAACAAACATGCTGAACGAAATTACCTAGGGAGATGGCATTTATTGCCTTCTAACCAACCTTTGATCCTCCTTTCCTGACACTTACCATAATGCTGTAGCAATCTGGGAAAATTGTGCTTTTCCTTACTTTCTTAGGTAAGGCCATTTTTAGGAATATAGACCATCATCAAAGTTTATCCTTGACAAATTTGTCATTGAGGTTGTTTTGGCATATGCTGTCATGTTCTTTTTTTGTTGCCCTGGTTTTCAACTAATATTGTTGCTTTTCTTTTAGTGTCTGCTGAAGGTGTCAGATTGAAGGGTTACCCAATTCAAGTTGTCACATTTGACGAAGACCATGCCTTTAATCTAGATTTAGAAGCACTAGAGAAGGTGCTGCTGCAGAACAAGATTAAGGATAAACAGGTTGTGGTGGTCTCAGTGGCTGGAGCTTTCAGGAAAGGAAAGTCTTTTCTTTTGGACTTCTTTCTGAGATATCTAAATGCAACACCTGATGCACAGGTAGGTGGACAGACTTAGAGCAAGAACACTGGTGTTTTTCACCTTTGTTGTAGATTTATTTAAATTATTTATAATTCAGAAGAAGAATATGTAAAATGTTGCCCAGAGCTTTGTCGTTTTATGAATAACGCCTATTTAAAATCCAAGTCTATTGAAGAGAACTATCTGATGCAGTAAATGCAAAAAAAAAACAAAAAAAAAAAAAACAGTGATTAATTTACCTTAATGGTTTGTTTACATAAATTTATATTAATAGAAGAAAAAGTGATGCTTATAATTATGATTTTTAATGAGTATTTACAGCAGTAATGGTTAAACTTCTTTTGTTATTATTTCAGGCAAGTGATGAATGGCTGGGAGATGACAACTCTCCATTGGAAGGTTTCAGTTGGAGAGGAGGCTCAGAAAGGGATACCACTGGGATTCTTTTGTGGAGTGAAGCTTTTGTGTCAAGGCTCCCAAATGGACAAGAGGTACACCTTTCTGTTAACATTATATTGATATGATCATAAAAAATATAGATATGTTGTATTTTTTTAAATGTGTAAACACTCAGTAGCTGTTTTTAATACGTTTGAACTTAAACAAAGTGATATATATTCATGAAGCCATTTGTTTTTTGTCCGTTTCAATTCTTCAAAAATTTATGAGAATTGTTGTCAATTAATGTGTTTGACTTTAAGTTTTATGACCAGTTGTTAATGCATGTTGATAAATTACAGAAATGTTGTAGTAAATAACAGCACTGTTTATAAATTAATAAATGGTACATCATTGAGTAATAATTGTGACATTCTGCCATTGTGGAAATACAGTGTATCTGACCCTCTGTTGCAGGTGGCTGTACTTTTGATGGACACTCAAGGAGCATTTGATAGTCAGTCCACAGTGAAAGACTGTGCTACAGTATTTGCACTGAGTACTATGCTCAGTTCTGTTCAGGTAAAATAACTGACAAGACTGACATAGTTTATTGACCCTATGCACTTTTACTGGTTTCAGGTGTTCTGTTATTAATGATATATTGTAACAGTGCTCAATAACACTATTGGCAACATGATGAACGTGACTTCTCTATTCTGAGAGCTATAATATTGGCAATCTCAAATTGTTGAGGTTGGAAAGCTACACTATACAAATCTATTATTCCATGTCAGTGAACTGTATTATACTGGGTAAAAATGAAAAACAAAAGGTTAAATTGGTTAAGATAAGTTTAAAAAAAGATTAAACTTTTTATCAGATACCCTGTTTTCAAATTATTGTTGTGAAGAGAATGCAATTGATCAACTCAAAAAGTACAGCCTTATAATAACCTCTTTCTGCTATACTTACCACATGTCTACTACATGTTTGTTTTCTGTACACATCAAAAGAGAATTGACAATCCCTTCAATTTTTGTCAGGTATTTAACATATCTTCAAACATACAAGAAGATGATTTGCAACATCTGCAGGTGAGTTTAGTCAGTTGTAAAACAGTAAAACTAGTTAATGTCTGTATTCATAATTTTGCCTTGCAACTGAACATTTTAACTTGTTATCAATAAGATTCAATCAAATTGCACTCAAATGCAATGTTTGAAACAAAGTTGAATGCCAGTTAATTGTTTTTCAAAATTGTTTTCAGCTTTACATTTGCGTGCTTCATGTCAAGCCAAAATTGTTAATTGTCATACTTTTCTCCTCCAGCTTTTTACAGAATATGGAAGACTAGCATTAGCAGATACATCAGCAAAGCCATTTCAGGTGACTTTTCTATAATTCAATTTATATATTGTGTACTGTTGGAGATGGTACAGTTGAATGTTCATTTCCTACTGATCAATATTTGTTTATTAATTAATCTTGGTTTCTGATGAATACATCAGTGACATTTCACAAATGGGATGTATAAAAATTCAGTCATTTCTAGTCTTACTATCTTAAAATGATAAAAAATATCAAAATTAATGTAATGCAGTAGCAACATAAATGTTTTGTTATATTTAACATTTCAGTCTTTAGAGTTTTTAGTCAGAGATTGGAGTTTCCCATATGAACATGATTTTGGAGAAAAGGGTGGAAATGGATTGCTAGAAAAACGTTTAGAGGTAAGAGAGCCAAACACGTTTGGCTGTAGAACCACTTAAAAATTTTTAAACAGTGAGGCTTTTTTGTTGTTCACTATATATGTTTATACTGAATTAACATCAGGGGAATAATGGACTTACTCCCCATGCAAACATAACTCAATTTTATTCACATGATACATAAAAGATGAGGGTTTTGGATGCAGATATATTATGTTCAAGTTCAAAAAAGGATGAAGAGAAATTCATGGTATACTTCAAAAGATTTCTAAAAAGGCATTCTTTTCTACTGTGCAGTTGTAGACTTTGACTGAGGTTGATATTTAGTTTTGCAGACCACAAATTACATATAATTACATTGACAGGGTCTATAGTAGTTTTGTTTTATCATATAATACCTGATTGCAGTCAAAGGTCAGTGTCTTCCAAGATGTTATTAGATGTTGCAACATTCCTGTCACCAAACATTATTGGCATATGACTGATATGTTGTTTTTTTTTCTGATTGGAAAAAAAATAGGCTAAGATGTCTTTCGTCAGTATTATGTTCGGTGATGATGTCTTCAGTCAATATTGTGTTTTACCAGACCTCAAATTCACACTACAAATATAATTATTATTACTGTTGTCATTTTATATTTTATTGTTATCATTAATATTAATATTATTGTTTTGTCTGTTTGTATTTCTAGTTGAAAGCTAGACAACACGAAGAATTACAGTCTCTTCGCAAGCATATCAGGTCCTGTTTTGAAAAGATTGGCTGTTTCTTGCTGCCGCACCCAGGACTAAAAGTTGCCACCAACCCTCATTTTGACGGCAGATTGGCAGGTAAGGAATTTCACATTTTACATTGAATAACTTGTATTATGATATTTGTAATCCACTTTTCAGTTCAAGGTAGATGGTTATTTGGTATAACTAAAATATGGTTAGGCATGATCAGAATTTAAAGCCTGATTAGTGATAAAAGTAACATAACAGAATCATAATTTATCAATTTATTAATCTTAACAAAAAGTATTTAGTACACATGCAAGTTTGAAGTCCATGTTTTTATTCGATCATTAAAGATTCTGTAATTGTTAGCTGGTATGATTTTTTTTGGTCCCCAGTTTGTGTTTAATCACCAATGCATGATATATTCAAACTCGTTTGGAGCAATGTGAAGGCTTTAGAAATACCTTTCTATATAGATTAAAACAATAAGGGTATTACACATGACATGAAATATATTTCTGAAACTTGCCATTTCCTTTTTCAGATATTGAAGAGGAATTCAAAAAACAGCTTAAAATGTTAGTGCCATTAATCCTTGCTCCAGGAAATTTGATCACAAAAGAAATAAATGGGGCTAAAGTCACATCTAGAGAACTGGTAGAGTACTTCAAAGCTTATATCATTGTATTCAAAGGAGACGAACTCCCAGAACCCAAGTCTATGCTGCAGGTAAATTGAAATTTATGATGAAAATTGCGTGGTATTTGTGGCTGATAGGGCAGTGTTAAACAGGTGCATGGTATAACTTTTATGCTGAAACCTCATAAAACATGGGGCATTGCCATCAAGGTCAGCAGTGTGAATAATGAATAGATGTTTCAAGGTAAACGTTCAGATAAATCAATGTTAGTTTTACTGATGTGACCTGAACAGGTACACAAGCCATTAACATCCATATTGAGTAGAATATTTATTATGGTTAAGTTATTGAAAAAGGGATGAAAGCTTTGTTGTAATTTAATGACTCTGATATATATATATATATATATATATATATATATATATATATATATATATATATATATATATACTTGTACTATTGTCATGTATATATTTTTATTGTGATTTTACAATGCATGTTATCAGCCAAAATTGTTTTTTAGGCTACTGCGGAAGCAAATAATTTAGCTGCTGTTGCAAATGCAAAAGCATTATATGTAAAGGAAATGGAAAAGGTATGTTTTTCTTTTTTTTTTTATCTGTTTCACGTTGATATTTGTTTGATTTATGGTAGTTTGACCGTGAATAAAGATTTTAAAGTATAAGGATATTTTTTTGTTTCTTCCTAAGCAACCTTTAAGATACAAGTTTTATAATCACTGAGCTTAGCATTTTAGTAGTAGCTAGAACCAATAATTTATGTCCACATCCCTCCAAATATTATTTGTAAATTATGTGCTATTGGTGAAGAATTTTTTTACTTGGAAAAAAAAAATAATTGATAATAATATTTGACTAGATTTGTGGTGGAGATAGACCATATCTCAGCTCGGAACAGTTAGACAGAGATCATGACAGTATCAAACAGCAAGCAGTGGAACTCTTCTGCAGTGCTAAGAAAATGGGAGGAGATTCATTCAGCAGTGCCTATCAGGAGAAACTAGAGGAAGAAATCCTTGAAGCCTATGAGAACTTTGTCAAAGCAAATGAGTCCAAGAATATTTTCAAGCACGCACGCACCCCTGCCACCTTTGGGGTGGTGCTTGTTGCGGCCTACTTCTTGTCTGGACTTTTTGGCTTTTTGTACATGGACACCATAGCTAATCTGTTTACTGGTATTGTATATTTGATTATACTTGTGGTCACATTTTGGGCCTACGTCAGGTACAGTGGTAACTACCGTGACATAGGACAACACATAGATTCTGCAGCAGAAGGAATATGGGAACAGGTAAACAGATTTTCTAGGAAGAAAAGGAAAATCAAACATAAATCTAAGTAAAAGTGTCACTTGACTGTTAAGGGATAGGGGTTTGTTAATTTTGCTGTTGTCAATTTGTAAAATGTTGTCATTTAAATGTACATATTTGTGCTTAGAAAGCGTAAGGTGTTTTTCCTACTGACATATATAGTTTCCCCCTTGTCATGTCAATTTTGCATGTGATTTTTGTGCTATTTGTGACACTAATTTGCTCTAGTCTTATTCAATTCTTATATGATTTTGTGTTAAATGTGTTATTTGATATTTGTTCATATTGTTAATTTTTGATTCCCACTTGAATTCCAGTGTGTTATATTAAATTTATTTCTTTGATTTATCTATTTTGCTTTATGTATTTATTTATAGGTGCTTTCCCCAGCATATGCACACTTCATGGCTCAAAGTTTAAAGCATGCAACCAACACCAAGTTGAAATCAAACTAAGGAATGGCAGGAAATCAGCAATGAAATTATATTGAAATTGAAGCTAATCACTTCCCTGTTCAAATTGGAATAAACAGTAGTGATTGTTGTACATGGCAGCAGAGAACCATACTGATAGAAGAACCAGCTATTTGCTATGCACTACATTTTGACTCTGAATTTGTTCCCAGATCTTATGCTTTCATGGGCTGCCCACAGTGTTGTTTCTTTTTTTGATATTTTGCTGGGATGTATTCTCAACATTTCTCTCTTTTTTTCTGGATGTTGTACTGTTTTTGTAACTTGTTGCAGTTGGCCAGTCAGCTTCAGTGTTTTGAAATACTCGCTCACTGGATTTTAGCATTCCTCAATTCAGAGAGTAGACAAAAGAATGAAGGTGTACTTATTTCCATTGACTTCATCTTGGTTTGTGAGGTACAGACTGTTAGTTATTAGCATATTTATTGGTAACTTGTGACAGACTGAAAATTTGTGTTGATGAATTGTAAATTATTTACAGAGAAATTTGTTGACAATTTATGCCCATTATAATTAAGAAAATAATAGATGTTAAAATTACGATGATAAAATCCAGTAACTAAGGAAAGTGCAAAGACTTATGATCCCAGAAAACTGTGGGTTCAATTCCTTTCCAGTTTTGCAAAAATCAGCTCACTCTAATCTTAATACAGTCTTGTAACTACAGTATGGACTTAATTAAATGAGCATTGAGTTAGATATTTTTCCTCTGCTGAGGGTAAGCAACAAAACAAATTTCTTTAAAAGAATTTACCTTTTTATGTACATAAAGGAAATTAGTTTTCTAAATTTACAAATTTAGCTTACTGCTGAAATGACACTTGTAAGTATTTCCATGCATTGATACTGTTTTGATGCCTATTTATTCCTATATGTTAGTAATAGAATATGAAGATTACATTCATATTATCGAAGAGAATGATAAACACCCATTTGTCATCGTTAAACATTTAATGTTTGAGATAAAAATATCAACAGGTGCTGTGACACAAGCTTAAGGTGCTGATGCATAGTATAACAGATTTTTTTATCCCTGGTTAATCTTATGATAACTAGAATATTAACTATGTATAACTATGCACTCTTTTGTATATAACACACTCTCATTTATTGTTTCTTTACAGAAGGATTTTGTGTTTATCTTAATTAGTGATGCTGGTTCAGTCTGTAGTCAAATCATACCACAGTTATGTTATAATCATAGAACTCGAAAGCGTATTGTGAATAGCGATATCTCACAGAGGCTACAATGTATATGGGGCGAGTTATGGAATTGAGACGTTTTCAGTCAGTCGCAATGCGCCATGCTTTTGAGTTCCGGGGACCAGTATAGCTATAACCGGCTTCTTGTTTTTGTATTCATTTGGATACAAGTTAAAAGTATTGTCGGCAGGCCATGACCAGCACCTGTGTTAGGTCAGTAATTATGAGGAATGGTAATAGAAAAAGGTAAAAAATAGACCGAAAAGGATTAAATAGGACATCAACATATAGATGGTCACACTTTAAGTATCACATGGATATTGCTCCAAAGGATGGTTGGAGCATGCCTCCTTTAAAATGTGTTTGTTATATGCATTCTTAATTTAATATTTGTTCATTTATCAATACTATAAGTCACCGATCAAGACTTTGAGTGATTATCTGTTTAAGTAAGCATCAAGAGTAGTCAAAAAACGTTTGGATATTATGCCACTATGAGATTGGTACCATAATTATATTTCTCATTCTGTTCAGTGTTTTGAATCCAACTGCTTGAAGTGGGGAAATGGGTGGCATCATGTCTTTCTTTTGCTGATTCAGAAGTAATCACTCCACCTGTGGAACATGAAGCACCTACTACAATCTTTAATACTTCCTAATTTAGCGTGGATTGAGCGTGTATCTTGGTTGTTCAAAATTGGATTCATCCTCTTTATGTGCAATATGTTGTGTTATGATAGATTGACTGACACGATAAGTGAAATGTCTTATATACTTCTTATAAAGGAATATTGCATCAATTTGCCTGGGTTGCATTGTGTAACAGAGTCATGATACACTGTATCTCTGATCTAGGATTCAATTTGAAGATCTAGGGTATAACATCCAGGAGACAAATATACCTGTACATGTAGCCTTGTTCAAGTTAATGCAATGTAAACCAAGTTGTTCACAATAATTTCATAAATGATTTTTTGAATCAATGAAATGTGTATCACTTTCTTCTTGTATATTCACATAAGTCATTTGATACCATTGCCCTTTAAATTTGGAACTGCAATTGTATCTACAATTTTTAAGTTTTTCCAAATATGGATACTTAAATAAGAAGTTCTGCATAATTCGAAATCCCGCCCTAACAATGGAACACTTACTAATATTTTAAGTTTAATGAGGATTTTTTTTTATAAATACATAGAACTGTTATTGATTACAGTTTGTAGTATCTCAATTTTCATATCCTATATTTGGATTCCATTTATCATGCCCCCTTCCACATACACACAATCCTAGAAATTGTTGTTTGTGTGAAAATAAAAGCACTTGGCATTTGAATTGTTTATCTCTTCAGCTAGAATAATTTTTTTCTCCTGTCTTCCACTAATGCTAATGCCTGTCTTATAATTTCTGAGAAAACAAGACCACATAACAACCAATATTGATTATTTCAAGGTAACGTGGGTGATTATGATTACTCCATCACCGGGTGGAAAAATGTTTTTAGAAACTGGTACAACATGTAGCTTAAAATTGTGAAAGTGAAGTGAACAAAATTTTGCCCCCATCCCCTAAAAAGTTTCCGGTCACAAGATAACAAATGGGGTCTTTGGCAGAGTAATTTGCCCAAGCCAGCCAGCCGTACTAAGCACAAGGTGCCAAGTTATAGCAGCACACTGCTAGATCAATATTGTGCATGCGGCTATCATTGAGTGATTGACAGAATCAAGCCACGAAACAAAACACTGTTGTTAAGAATACACAAGAACATCGCAGCAGTGCCATTGACACAGGCAGCCAAGTATAGTTTCCTTTTCAACTGTGAGATAATACGTTTTATTTAATAAAACTACTGATGAAAGATTGGAATTTTCAATCTCTGTCACTCTCTTTTGCTCCCTCTCTCCATCTCTCTGTTTTCATTAACCCATGTGACTTCCCGGAAGCCGGTGGGCATGTGACCTATATCAACCAATCCGAATGTGCAGGTTTTGGTGAGCAGCAGAGTAGAAAGGGGTTGATCACTCTCTAAACAAGGCGCAAGCGATGCCTAATAAAACCAAGAAAGATAAGGTAGGTACCAAGAGTATTGAAGAAATATCAATGCATTTATATATATA